GCCCCGCTGATTTGCATCCTGTTAATTAGCACGGGACTAACGCCGTCCCCCCCCCCCCCCGGTATTAAAAAGCACATGAAAGCCGAACACGTTGGGCTGCGTTAGTTTGTCCCGGTGCTGGGCGGGGCCGTGCGGCTGTCATGCCCCCAGGCTGACCAGATGTCCCGATTTTGGGGCTCTTTCTTATATAGGCTTCTATTAGCCCCCCCAGCCCCCCACTTGCGCTCTGGTCACCCTACGTGCCCTCGTGCATGCGCTGGAGTCAATGCGCCGGGCTAAATGGTGCCATCACTTACTTACCCCATTTCCTTCCCAGCTCAGCCTCAGTTTCCCCCCCAGTTCTGTGATGAGCCACCAGTGCCATGGTGAAGAGCTGCTCGGCTGTTGGATGTGCATCGAGATGTTTGCCCAATTCCAAGTTACGAGGACTAACGTTTCACGTGTAAGGGTCAGACTTGTGTAACTACGCTGCTTTACACCTTCTCGGCATATTTTTTTTTAAGTAGGATTCCTGTCTACATTTGAACCTAGGGGCGGATGTGAGCCAGTTCCATGCTCCCAGAGCTAGTTACAAAATCCAGGTTCTAATCCCACTGCTGCTACGGAGTTGGACTCGGCTGATTGGAACTGGTCCGTGGTGGGGTAGGACCTCCCATTGCAGGGAGATGCTTGCAGGAGCAGGACCTTGCTTTGTAGCTTTGGTCTCTTACCGCCTCTCTGCCCATTCATTACCGCATCTGGAAAATTATAAAACTTTGTAAATATCTTTGAAGATAGAAATGAAGTAATTAGCACACAGAGAGTATCATCATTCCACTGGTTTTGTTCCTTGCCATATTTTAATCTTGTACATTTCAAGATTTTTCTGTGCCCAAAATGCTTGCCTTCACCTGTGGTTCAAAGAGGGTGAAATGTTTACATTTCATAGTAAAGTCATTTGAAAATATTTGGCTTCTAGAGTGTTAACGTAACACAGCCTTCATAAGGGGGAAGCTACAGAGCACGCTCCAGAAAGAGAGAACTTGGTACAATTCAGCAACAGATACTTTATGAGCCATTAAAATAGCTCATGCCCAGACCTCTGATACTTCGACTTTCACCATGTCTTGTTTATGGAGTCAGGTATAAAGTCAAGATATTTATAATCAAATTGATTAAAAGTGAACAAAGAAGGTTATTTTCTCTCTCCTGGTTATCTAACATAGAAGAGTGGGGTTAGGGTGGGCATGGATAAACTGGGCATTTAGGTGGAAACCCAAAGACAGAGAAAGTGTTAATAACAAAAGATAGTTCCATAGGATCCAAAAAACTATATAAACTGGCTTCATCACTAAACATGGCCCTTTACCCCATCTGAGCTCTTTTATTAAGGAACTTATAGAAAGTACCTTCTGTTCAGAGTGGGCAGTGTGAATAACTCCCCTCCATTCTGGACAGTAGTCAGAGATTGCACAACACCTGATAGGGTTGTCTCCATTTGCTAGTGGAGCGTATGGGGAATGATCTCTCTCTGGTCTGCTATTCCACCAGTGATGGTCTCAGACGAAGTGAGGTGAGCAGGCTGGAGAAATCCTCTGATATTAAAGCTTTTAACTAATTCCTGCCCTACACTTGGGGAACCTGAAAGAAGAATCAGCTAAAGAATCTCTAGTTATTGCATTACGTTCTGCCAACCTTAACACAACCACCAGAATACAATTATCTTAAATTTTGTCCAAATGTGGATTAAAACAGACCCTAGAGCAGGGGTGGCCAACCTGAGCCTGAGAAGGAGCCAGAATTTACCAATGTATGCTGCCAAAGAACTACAGTAATACGTCAGCAGCTCCCACCACCCACACCCAGCGTCTCCCACCCACCAGCAGCCCAGCCAATCAGTGCCTCCCCCTCCC